GATCTTTTTGGATAGAATAAAATAGATCATGTGTTCTGTTATATGATGTTTTTAAAAGAACTACTTACTTTATAATTTTTTTGGAATTATGATCACTACAACAAATATATATATATATATATATATATATATATATATATTAGATATATATATATATATATATAAATATATATATATATATATATATATATATATCTATATATATATATCTATATATTATATAGTCCAACCAAACAAGTGGATTGAATACTTTTATTAGAATAAGGATGTAATGGTTTATCCTTATGTAAATGGTATGGAGTTATGGAGCTTATGTTAGACAATAGGCTTAAGCACTCTAGCATCTACTAACTTCATTTATATAGACTATCCTAAATGGTTGTTTAGGATGAAGTTTCTACTAATTCCACTAATTTTCATTCCATAAGACAAGTGCTTAGAAAGTATTTTTCTAAGTGGGAGCAATTTGGAACTTTAAGAGCTAAAGATCCATAAGATAAATGCATCATAGTTTGGAACTAGCAAGTTTTCAATTGTTGTTGAATCTGCTCAGTAGTTGATCAGAAACTAATAAAACACACAGAGATGCATTCACGTGTGATTATCAAGTATGGGCTTGATTAATCTTCCTCGATATATATTTTAAATATTAAGAGTAAGCGATTTTTCAAAGGGGAAAACATACATGAATGAACATCTTCTCAGATTTAAGGTAACATCTCAAAGTAAGAATCTTCTTTCTTATAAGACTATTACATAGTATGATTAAATTATAAATCAAGAAGACTATTGTGTTTTCCAAAAAGCTAGTGGGAGCACAGTAACATTCCTAGTCTTATATGTACTCGACATACTAACTCTTGGAATAAACATCTATATAGATAACTCATGACAACTTAAAGGATTAACTAAAATTGTATTAGTTATCAAGGATCTTAAAGAGCTTAAGATAAAGGTCTGTGAGAGAGTCATCTTGTCAAATACCACATGACATGATTTTGAGCAAAATCCTAGTGCAAAATTTTTGAACTAGATAACATGATTGTATTCCATATGTTATTGCAATATGAATAATCATATATGTCATGATTATGCATGACAGCCAAATAAATCGAATGCTTAGAGCATGTCGATGACACCGGTATAATCCGAGAATGAGTCATTGTGTGGCTTATAGAAATATTCTAAAGTACTTTCAAAAACTAGAGAAATATTCCTAATATGTGGAGTATTTGAAAGAAAGCTATGTTTAAGCTATTTCGCATATGTTAAACTTGCAAATAAATTGAGATATTTCTCAATCGGGCGTGTTCTCATTATAAATGAAGAGAAAATACATGGATAGTAGTTCCATGTAGATTCTAATTACAAATACACATCAGGGTTAAATTAAATTGTGGTTTGGAGAATCACATACAAATATGCTTAATGTATAGTTCATTATGACTATGAGTAATCTCATTACACAAGTATTGGTATCTAAATCATATTTAAGCATCTAATACATTCTCAATAATTTTCTTTATATATGAGTTAATTTATAAAACTGAATTTGTTTGTATTTGCAAAGTTTATACAAATCAAATTTGAAAAATCTACTTAACAAAGCTCTTTCATTAACTAAAGCATGAAAGCCAAGCTGGTGCTTGGCTTTCATTAACAAAGCTCTTTCTATTTGATTGAAATTTGTTATCTGAATGTTGGAACAATAAAAGCAATATATATTGTAATGAGTTGAGATATTTGATATGAGTCTTTCATTAAATAATTGTTGTGTTCTATGTTAGCGTGTTTAAATCCTTCAATAACTAGGTTATTCTAAATGTCCATAGTCATTCATAGTTGTGGGAGCATCTATGAGGTAAGACTAATATGAGTGGATTGGTTGATTTTCATAGAGATGAAAATAGCAAGAGCCGCTACCAAATTCATAGGTACTTGATTAGGAGAATAAGTACTGGACCTGAACCACATCAAAATCACTTTATGGATCATAGTCATGAGTGATGTTTTGATCAAGGTTGTATCTTTGTATTCTTAGACTTGAGATAAATATTTGGGACTTGAAGTGTAGGAATTGTTGTGCTTTGACATGGTTTAACACTGTTCCGTAAAAAGCAGCCATAAGGGCCATCCTTGGGTATGAAATGAACTACATTGATGGGCGTATCGAATCAAGATGTTTTTTTTGTAGAGTTAGACATCTAAGGCCTTACTCAAACTTGAACACTAAACGAGATTCATCGCAATCCGTATCTCATGTTCAACATCAGGCGACCACTCTTTGGCTAAATTGATTTCCTTAGCATCCATACTCATCATTCATTTCCATATGCTACTTTGGTATGATGATAAAAAAAATATCATCTTGGGTTTTTTATGCAAAGAAAAACCTCATTGAAATCGAGACAGTTCTAGGCGTTGGTGGTCAAGATATATTTTTTTACTCTCAGCACCTCCACACTCACATCTCTCTCTTGTAGTTTAACGAATGATGGTTGCTGGTACTTTGTATTTGGTTTCAACCAAAAGAGGGAAAGTATGTAAGTTGCTTTCTGGTGCTTTATCTTATGACACCTTACTAGGTTTCTACATTTCTTATGCCAATCACAAGTTCATATCATCTATGATTCATGGGGTTTCATTTACGAAACATGCTCTCTTACCAATACACCTTCGACAACCACTATACACATATTTCGTTCGATTGATGATTTACTTTTTCATGATCTCGAAGTATACTGTGTAAACTAACAAGTGAAAGACATATAACGGCTAGGGTTTCATATTATTTTCAAAGAGAAGTACAAATACAATGAAAGGGAAAGATATAATATATAGAGTGGCTAATTATGGTTTCTTAGCTAAAAGGCTCCACATAAACCTAATACATGATAAAGCTTAAAATCTTATTAGGCTAACATCCCCCTCAAACTCACAATGCAACAATAATAAGCATTGAGAGTTTGTTAGGCAGAAAATGGAATCAAGGAGCAATCAATGGTTTCTTAAGAATATCAACAATCTGCAAAGGGGAAGATACATCAGGAAAGGAGATACTTCCCTTTTGGAGATGATGACGTGTGAAATGACAATCAATTTCAATGTGGTTTGTGCGCTCATGAAACACTGAATTTTTGGCAATCATTATCGCATTATAGTTGTCAAAATACAAAGGAGTAGGCTGAGAGATGTGAATGCCCATATCTGCAAGAAGCCATCTCAACCCAACAATCTCACAAGTGGCGATAGCCATGGCTATGTAGAAGAACGGGAGATAACCATGATATGAACGAATCTCCAAGAAAAACACAATACCCGGTAGTAGACTTACGATCATAGATGTCATTATTCCAGTTAGCATCACTATACAAGAGTGTGGCATTGAGTACCACGAAGATTTCTCTAAATACGAAGAATAGCTCCCCGATGCACTGTAGAAGGAGCAGTGACAAACTGGCTAACCACATGATGTAACATCCCAAAAATCAGAGAAAATTTTTTATTTTTCCAAAACAACCGAAAAGGCAATATTTGTTTACAAAGACATTGTTTCAAAAGTGTAATTCATAAATCAGAGTATCCCAGAATCCAATAACATAAAATCCAAAGGATGTGCACAATCACGCCTTCTCCTTGCCACAATCATTTGAAGTACCTGAAATAATAACTAAAATTATAAGCACGAAGCTTAGTAAGTTCCCCCAAAGTACCAACACACAACATATAACAGGATATATTGGGTCCACAACTAAGAGACTGGATTACCCTTGAGCCCACAGTATGTGTCTGGATTGCCCTCGGGCCCACAACTCATATCTGGTTTGCTCTCGATCCCACAACATAAGTCTGACTTGCCCTCGGGGCCTACAACTTATCTTTGGCTTGCTCTCGAGCTCACAACATAAGTCTGGCTTACCCTCAGGACCCACAGCGTATGCATGGCTTGCTCCCGAGTTTGTTGGCTACCACACAAAGCAATACAACCTCAACCAACTATACAATGTCGACATATACATAACTGATAACATGTATTTAGAAAACAGATAAATATATAACCAGTTAGACAAACAGGCAGATCTAACAACTCACTACTGTATAACAACACCCGATATACCAGAATACATAATCTAGTGGGCCGACATTAGTGCCTTCGACCCACAAGTGTAGTGAGGAAAACTCACATCTAACAAAAGATAGCTGAATCAACACTCACTCTGTTGCGAACACTTCTCCTCACACTAAACATAATCCAAAAATGACTCCAATCAATAACTAAGGTTTTATCCCATACCAATGGTTCACTCATCCTTCATCATATTAAGGGCAAAAGACCATTTTTCCCCTTTCCCTACAAGACCCAACTAATCCAAGCCCAAAACCCTAAATGACCCAAGGCCCAACATCCATCCAATGGGCTTCTGAGAGAACGCCTGGCGTCCACTAAAAGACGCATGGCATCCAAACTCCCATCGTTCTAACCCAAACGCCTGTCGTAACCACAGAATCCCAAATCCTTAACCAAGGTCTTAATGGCTTAAGACCTAATGTTTAAACTTCAGATCCCATTCTAAAAGAATGTCTAAAGCCATAAAGTTGCATCCTTTGTGACTTTGCATAGGTACAAAGAGACCAACACCAAATAAAGTAGACCATTTTTTTTTCTCTCTTCTGTTTTTAGTAATACAATGACAGTACTTGTTGATCATCTTACCTAACATCCACGGGATAATCAGGAAAAGCATAATGATGATAGTAGTCATTGCATTACACGATAGAATGTTTGTTAGAATGATGGGATTAATTATAGAGTGTGCAACCAACAACTTAAAAGTTTTAAGAAAAGATAAACTCATGACCTACCATAAAAGAATGGGTTGATTATGAACTTGGAAACCCATGGAGTACATCTCTCGGTTATTTTATGCCAAAGGGATCCGTATAAATACAGAAAACCATTATATTTTTCAAATACATTGAGTGGCAAATTTTGAGCTATAGCCATCAACACAGCATCACTATTCAATGTTTTGTAATGCGCCAACAAATCTATTGCAAAGCCTACATATATTCCAAAATCAGCCAATTAAATGTGCAGGTTTTTCACTACTGGATTTTGAGTCCAGTTGACACTTATGGAAATCTTTAGAGGAAATAAGAGTAACTAGAAGGCCATCACCAGTTGTGCCAGAAAACAGAGCATCCTTCTGTGTATCAGTATTGATGTGTTGCAGCAGATGCCGGGCTGTCTCCATATGCATATTAGAAAGAGCCAAGGCTAGTGGTGTCTGACCTTCTTTGTCTTCCGCCAACAACAAATCTTGGTTTCTTGCCACCAAGATCTTTGTAGCATCAGTGTTGCCAATAATGGCAGCGACATGAAGCAGTGTGCTTCCTTCTGAATTTGTCACATCTATTAGTTGTGTGTTCTCCGGTATCTTTTCCAATAATATCTCTAAGAATTCCCACTTCTTGGAAGTACCGACTGCTACATGGAGCGAGGTGTTGCCATTATTCGTGATTTTGTCTATCTCTGTAACCCTTCCCCCATTCAATGTATATTCGACCCATTCCCAATATCCTCGTTGAATATTACTGTACAAGTTATGGAGATCCCCTGCTATGTCTTCATCTTGTGGTGTATCTATATTTGCATAATTTTGTTATCAAGGCAAAAAACTACAAGATACAAAATATTTCTCTGATGTGATCTAATCTAATCTAATTTAAACATTAGGGATTTTAAAGTAAGATGCAAAAAAACACCTTGTTTGTGTGTGTATATATATATATATATATATATATAATATATATATATATATATATATATACTTTTATCCGTTTTGTATACTTTGTATCTCTTTTACCATTTGTTTGTTTACACAAGTGGTTGGCGGACTCTACTTTATAGTGACTATAAAGTAAAAGCTATATATACATATTTTACTGTAAAAGTAGTTGTATGCTTTACTTTATCTAAATCACCAACCCAAATAAACAATTCATAGATTAGAAAACAAGAGAGATTGTACCTGCACCAACAGGAGGTGCAATAACTGGAGGTAGTTTTGGAAAAACAGGAGCATACAGTGTCTGCAGTTCATCCCAAACATCTTTTGCACTGAAATCATGATCTGAATTTGTCTCTTGATGGAGTTTTCTTGTGAGACGATTCACAACATACCCGAGTATTTCTTTAGAGAGGGAACCAAGAATCCAACCCTTCACCAGGGCATCTGATCTTCTCCACAGCCTGTATTGAGTTTGATGGTCACCCACCTTCTCCTTCCCAAAAACACTACTACTGGTTTCAGGGCTTACGAGTGTTCCATCAATGATACCAAACATACCATGACTCTCTAAGAGACATATCATCTGTGTTTTCCAAATACCATACTCACCCCTTCCACTCAACTTCAAGGTAAGAAAACTGTGGGTATTATAAACATGTGATGGGTATGGGTATGTGTTTTCTTCTCCAACTTCTAGTGTGACATGCAGATTAGAGCTTGAGCTTGAGCTTGCCATCTTTATATGTTTTTTTTCCTTTCTTCAGTCTTCCATCTCTTAGATACTTAAATAGAAACATGGAGTGGATTTGTGGTGCCCACAAAAGCCACTTTAGGATTGAATCCTCCCCAAGTAATTCCCTCAGATAATAAATTAAAGTTTCAAGCAAAAAATAAAATAATTGCAAAAGTTATTTACTAAACGATTTTACTATTAAAATTATTTATCAAAATATAATACAAGTACCGTGAAGGTTACTTATTTATTACAAAATAAAAATAAAGAACAAGTGAAACCCATCTTTGCATATGCTTCCGTTCCATTTTCATCACCGGTTTGTCTTCTTAGTCCTTCATATATTCATAGGCAAAGGGAATCATAACATGAATTCTTTATAGAGTAAGGAACATATTTTATTGTTTGGTTGACTCGAGTTCTTACACATATATAAGGTGCAGATCAGATCAGTCTTTGTATGAACTTGTGAATTGATTGTTAAAAAAGCATAGACTATTTCAATCGGTCATAGTTCTTTTGTAGATTTTTTTAAAACAGTAAATCTAATCTAATCCTAAACTATTCCTAATTTCACCAATGTTCCAGACGAAATTTGAACCCTCAACCTCAAAGGGAAGACAACACCTGATACCGTTGAGCTAGAAGCCGTTTGGTTTTTGTTGATTGTTTAAATGGACAAAATTAGACACTAGATCAACCGAAAAGAACAAATTTAGATACACTTTCATCTACTTAATAGGAATTATATTTTTTATGTAATATTGGCCAGTTATTAGTTATTTATCTCAAATATCATTTATAGGCATCTTTTTAAGTAACTGTGCATTTTTTATGGCATTTTGACTCCCTTTCACCATGTTACACACAACGTTGGATATTGCATCACAACACATACTCATACACCAAACTATATATAAGAACTGTTTCGGTATTAACCTGTGGCTAAAGATTGATAGGAATCAGTCCTATCTTAGAGAAAAAAAAAATTTGATAGCAAACTATACATAAGAACAGTTTCAGCAACAAACTTTTGGGATGAAACTGTAGTGCCAACATAACTTTTGGGTTAGTGATTTTAAGTTTTAAAATAGGAGAGAAGCATTAATTTCTTGAAATTAGACTTATCACTCTCCCTTCATGGACACTAGTTCTTATGTGTTTTATATTTAAAAATAAACTTTAATTGTACATGGAGTACCATTAAAGTTTAATTTATACCAACTTGATATCCTTTTTTTCATTATCTGGTGTTCCAACAGAATCATCATTGCAAACTACTAGCCTGGTGTAGATACAGCATCAGTACTTGCCTGCTGGTATAAATACTAACTCTTAACTTTTTTTTTTTTTTCTGTCAATATTCCTACCATCTTACATATCTTAAAAGAAAGATGTAGCTGATTTGTGGTGCCCACAAAAGCCACTTAAAGATTGCATCCTCCCCAAGTAATTGCCGCATTGTTCTAAAAGAAGTAATCCCATGATATAATAAAAGTTTCAAGCAAAGAATAAAATCTTAATTTGGTTGACTGAAATTTAATTTATTGTGGAGTAGTGAGTACATATTTGATCATATATGTAGTAGTAATATACTTCAAGAAGATTAGGACCTGCATCGATGAAAAAAATTTAACTCTGTTATATTCGTTAAAACCCCTGAATTATTTTCTGTGCTGTAAAAAGAAACATAATTTTTCCTATCTATTCTATCCAAATGTCCGGTAATAAGCCCCAACAGCTATTTTTTGAATTTTAAACCAACTTTAAAACAATAATTAAGAAATAGCAAATAGCAATGTACCCTTAAAACAATAAGCATGAAATAGGATCACAGTTTTAAACATCCAAGTTGCCGGCTTTTCTTGCTTAGTGTTTAAAAGTTGGTGTAAAATTTCTGTTCAAAATGTACCTGTTGAGAAACAAGAACTTTATTTCCATCACACTCGGGACTCCTATGCATTTAAAAAGAAAAAATTAATCAGAAAATTTTAGTTAGGACTTTGGAAACAAGATCATGTAATGCAATCACTCATTTCATCATGGAATGGAATGGAATAAAGATGTTGCCAACCAAACTGTAACCATGGAGTTGATTGCTTGATTTAAAAACAGGATTACAGGAACTTTCAGTTGGTTACAAAACAGAAACAAAATTACAAACAACATAAATTATCAAAACTCCAAACCAGAAAAGTTCTTGATGACCAACACAGAAACAGGAACACCACTTAGTTATCGAAAGTTTAAAACAGAAACATAACATAAAAAACAGAACATAAATTGAAAAAGAGTAGAACAGATGAACATAAATTGGATGATGATTGATGAAATTCGGCATGTATATGTGTTGTATATATGTACATGTTAATGCTCTGTATCAGATGGAATAGAAATCGAGGTCGACATTGCCTCTTTCGAAGGGTCGATATATTCCCTCCAATTACAAGTTCGGCGTTCAGATCGTGTATCAAATAGGAATCCGAACACAAAATTAACGACCGAAAATACGGATTGAGTACCAATCGGCTCCTAATTGGACATTGATTAGGAACCGATCCGATTCTCTTACCTATAGCAATTTGGCGCGCTTTTGTAGCGCGTTTCGGTAGGTAGCGATCAGAACGGAAATCGTGGCATTATCTTGGAACTTATTCAATTAGAGAGTCAATCTCTTGGAGAGCATTTGGGCCTCTCAAAAACGAAAAAGGCTATCAATACTATTCAAAGCCTTTTTCTGTCAGTTTTAAATTCTATGGTACATCATATTTTTATGAGCACGTGCACATCATCTGGAAGAAATAGCAAAGTATTTTTAAATCTTACGCAAATGTTGTTTTAAACATCAATATTTAATCCATTAATTTTATATATTTCTTTCAACAAAAAATAGCAACATACTTTTTAAAAAATGTGTTGTCATAAAAAAGAATTAATTGAGATGAAGGATGCAAAACCACATATAACCAAACATGTGTCATATTTCATCCTCTAATCATGGGGGCAGGGAGGGAGGCGCAAAGTGGGCAGCTACACAAGCCTAAACTTTTTGTGGCTAATTTTTTGTTATTATGGATATATATTTATTAAAAATTAAAACACTTATAATAGATACTTTTTTTTCTAGCTCGTCCAGGGCATTTGAGGATATTTAAATCCTCAGAACCGGCCATGCCTTTAATCATTGGTCCTTAGGGAAAATTTGTTATTGAGGATTAAGAACTTTATAGAATAAGTATGCCAGCTATAAGATGATCCTATTTGTGAATACTTTTTGTTTATGAACATTCAAGTGGTAGTAGTGGTATGGTGATGGGAAGTAATGGTACATGCAATTTAGCAATTCTTAGAGTCATTCTAATATTTAATCACCCAATCAATAATTCTCCATCCCGATTCATCAAAAAACTGTTATATTACAAGTCAAATGACTACATTTTTTTGTACCACTTTCCTCCTCTATTTTTCCATCATTCTACAATCGGGCAAAAAGAGTTAATAAAAAGAACCATCACTTTGCTTACCAAAAATACTACGACCATATGTGGCACTCATCAAGTCTAGGACGAGAGGGAGCTGCAGGGTTACAAAAGAAGTAATTGGTAGGCATGTCAAGACAGCTATAGGAATAAGAAATCTTGAGTTCCTATTGCCAAACACGAGGTACAATGTTGCAGCAAAAGCTATTATCATGGCTGTGGTTGAGATGAACAATGTAGCCAAACCAATTATTAACTTTGTAGGCAACTTTAAGAGAAAGTCTTGTTCAGCGAAACATGCAGTGAGAATCGACAAAAACATTAACAATGAAGTAACAGCTGCGAACAATGATATGGCATCTGATATTGCAAATACTGTGAAGGCGGTGCTATTGGTAAAAACTGGTATCCCAGTGTCCTGATTGCTTCCTCCTGGCACTATAATTGCTGCTGCAAACACAATGGTAATGATTAATGCAGCTGTGATCGTGTAGGACTCTGCAGTGGACTTCATCCATTTTTCTCCTTCAATCACCAACTCCTTGTGTTCTCTAGTAAATACCGTTTGTGGTGTTTCATTGAAAGAGTTCTTTTGCATGATGCTTAGAGGACAAATGAATCTTTCCACTTCCTACAAGATTACAATATGTTAGTATGTTACACATGGTTGATGAATACTTATGGCACGTCTTTTAATATCAGCTATGTCAATTTTGAATCATCGAGGTTCATACCTTAAACCATTGTAGTTCTCGTTGTATCTGTAAAGCTGCACCCGATATAAGATTTAATTTGTTGGATGGTTCCAATCTTGCAGCTAGATGCAACAGGTTATTCCCCGAAGAGTCGAGTGTCCGATATATATTCTTATGTTCACTCATCTGATAAAGTAGGTTGTAAACTTTTTCCGAACGATTTATTGCAGCATACAGAATAAAGTTGTGCCCATCTTCGTTAGTACTCCAAATTGCATTTGGGAACAAATTCACAATTTCTTCTACAACCTCGTATGCATTTTGTCTCGTGGCTTCAAGAATCGGATTCGTATAATAGTGATGGTAAGAGCTGGAGTGATTTGTTTGCTTTATCAAGTCACATACTGTTGGTTTAAACTTCTTAAACAATGATAATTTGCTTGCTTTAATCTGCTATTATGAATCAAAACAAAGCAGGAAGAAAGCAAAACAAACAAAGAAGGACAATAGACAGCAAGGGAAAAAACGTGCTGGGAAAAAATATGGAGCAAGGAGAAAACTTTTTTAATGCTTAAGGCTCAAGTTCTTCATCAAAGAAAAAAGTAAATAATTACACCTATATATAGGAAACAAAAAAACGTGACCTCTACTTTTCCTAGACTTGTTGACCAAGCATTAAAAAAGTTTTCTCCTTGCTCCATATTTTTTCCCAGCACGTTTTTTTCCCTTGCTGTCTATTGTCCTTCTTTGTTTGTTTTGCTTTCTTCCTGCTTTGTTTTAATTCATAATAGCAGATTAAAGCAAGCAAATTATCATTGTTTAAGAAGTTTAAACCAACATTTGGTATCAGAGCGAATCTGGTGCGATGTCGAACAAAGAAGGATCGGTTACTCTTCAATACCCAATGCTGTCTAAGACGAATTACGCAGCATGGTCGATAAAGATGAAGATTTATATGCAAGCTCAAGAGGTGTGGGAAGCCATAGAGCCGAAGAACCCACAAAATCCGGTGGGTGCAAAGAGAGACAAGATGGCGATGGCTGCCATCTACCAAGCAAGTCCGGAGGAGGTTCTATTGACGATTGCGGAGAAGCAAACGGCAAAGGAAGCTTGGGAAACACTCAAGACGATGTACTTGGGAGCAGATCGAGTCAAAACAGCCAAAGTTCAAACTCTCAAAGCTGAATTTGAGATGATGAACATGAGTGAATCAGAGACCGTGAACGATTTTTCTACAAAACTTGGAGGTATTGTGAGCAATATTCGTGCTCTTGGTGAAACCGTTCAAGAATCCTACATAGTAAAAAAGTTGTTACGAGCCGTGCCTTCCAAATTTGTTCAACTTGCATAAAAAATTGAACAATTTGGAGATCTAGACGAGATGACATTTGAAGAGGTGGTCGGAAGATTAAAAGCTCATGAGATTCGTATTGGGGTTCATAAAGAACCCGAGGAGAAGAAGCTATTGTTAACGCATGAAGAGTGGACGGAACGAGCAAAGAAGAAAAATAATGAAGATCGTTCAAAACAACGCAAAAACAATTATAACAATAATCGAGGTGGAAAAGGACGAGGACAAGGAAAAAGTGGTTACAACAACTCCAACAAAGGACGAGGTGGTGGTAATCAACAAAACAAAGGAAAGAATGAATCGTATCAACCTCGTGACAAATCAAAAGTTCAATGTTATAATTGTCAAGAGTTTGGTCATTACGCTGCTGAGTGTAAGAACCCACGTCGTGAGAGGAATCATGAAGCTAACCTACCTCAAGGACAGAATGATCATGAGCCGGCACTTCTGCTTGCAGCCCAAGTAAACGATGAAGTTTACTTGAATGAGGAAAAAGTTAATCCCAAGCTAAGATCAAGTGAACAAACTCCAACCCAATCAAAAGTGTGGTATCTCGACAATGGAGCAAGCAACCACATGACTGGCGAAAAAAGCAAATTCCGAACACTTGATCTGTCTACTAGAGGTTATGTGAAATTTGGTGATGGATCTAGAGTTCGAATAGAGGGGAAGGGTTCAATCATGTTCAAATGCAAGAATGGTGAAAGTAGATTGTTGAAAGAGGTATACTATATACCAAGGTTATGTAGCAACATTATTAGTTTGGGACAATTAGCTCAACATGGAGATCGGATTGTGATGCTTGGATTATATTTATGGATTCATGATCCACAAGGAAAACTATTATTGAAGGTTCAACAATCAAGCAATCGTTTGTACAAGGCCATACTTGAAGAAGAAGTCTCAAAGTGCTTACTTGCAGAACAAGGCGAGGCATCTTGGCTATGGCACAAGCGGTTTGGACATGTTAACTTCAATGCACTAAAACACATGGCTGATACAAGTATGGTGGAAGGCTTACCCAGAATTGAAATTCCTACAAGCTTGTGTGAAGCTTGCTTAATCTCCAAGCAAGCTCGAAAATCCTATCCAAAGCACACCAAATTTAGAGCTAAAGAACGACTAGAACTCGTGCATGGAGATCTTTGTGGTCCGATCACACCACCAACACCAGCTGGAAATAGATATTTTATGTTACTTGTCGATGACTATACACGAGTTATGTGGGTTTATATGTTGAAAAACAAGGATGACGCTTTAATTGCTTTTAAGAAATTTAGAGCACAAGTTGAAGTTGAAACGGGTTTAAAATTAAAAAAATTTCGAACCGACCGGGGTGGTGAATTTTTATCAACACAATTCACTACATATTGTGAAGAAACCGGGTTGAAACGCCACTATACAACACCATATTCCCCTCAACAAAACGGTGTTGTAGAAAGACGCAACCGAACAGTAGTAGAGATGGCGAGAAGCAATCTAAAAGGGATGAATGTTCCAAAAGTCCTATGGGGTGAAGCCGTAAGTCACTCAGTCTACATCCTAAATCGTATAACCACAAAAGCCTTAAAAGAGTCAACACCTTACGAGCTATGGACCGGTCGAAAGCCAAACATTGATCATATGAGAGTTTTTGGGTGTGTTGCTTATGCAAAAATAGTCGGCACACATCTAAAAAACTAGATGATAGAAGTAAGAAGCTAGTACACTTGGGAGTTGAAAAAGGTACAAAAGGTTATCGGCTACTTGATCCGGAAACCGGAGCAATTTGAGTGGGAAGAGATGTAATTTTCGAAGAAGATGCTAAGTGGGAGTGGGGACCTACAACAAAGTTCAAAGCCATGACAAATGGAACATTCACCTTTGATATCATGCTTGATATTGAAGCTGAACAGGAAGAAGATATCCATCCAGATTTTAATGAAGAATATACACCAGACGATAGCCCGGTTACACCTCAATCATCACTTGATAGTTCATCCGAAAGTGAAGCTCCACAAAGATATCGTAGTTTGGCCGATATTTACGAAGAAAGTGATGAACTTATGTTTTTACAAGACGAAGAAGAACCGGTAAATTTCTCAAGTGCAAGTGAAAGTGAAGAATGGATGGAAGCTATGAAAAGTGAGTTAAGTGCAATTGAGAAAAATAAAACATGGAGTTTAGTTGAGTTGCCAAAGGATAGAAGACCCATTGGCTTAAAGGGGGTGTACAAGATCAAACGAGACCCGAATGGAAAAATATTAAAATATAAAGCAAGGCTAGTCGCTAAAGGCTACGTACAAAAACAAGGCATAGATTTTGATGAAATGTTCGCACCAGTTGCTCGTTTGGAAACCATTCGAATCATACTTGCTCTTGCTGCTTCAAATCAATGGAATGTACATCACCTTGATGTAAAATCAGCTTTCTTAAATGGCAATCTAGAAGAAGAAGTTTATGTGACACAACCGGAGGGATTCGTGAAGAAAGATAAACCAAAAATGGTGTACAAATTAGCAAAAGCTTTGTATGGTTTGCGCCAAGCTCCACGAGCTTGGAATTTTCGCTTAAACCAATGCATGAAAGAGATGGGGTTTGAAAGGTGTCCACAAGAGTATGCAGTTTACACAAAGAAAAACAAGGGGAGCATACTAATAATTGGTGTCTATGTTGATGATCTAATTGTCACCGGAAGTCACAAGGATGAGATAATCAAGTTCAAACAACAAATGAGCAAGGAGTTTGAAATGAGTGACCTTGGGATGCTAACTTACTATTTAGGCATCGAGGTTAATCAACATAAAAATGGTCTCACATTGAGACAAACGAATTATGCTAACACCATCCTAAAGAAGGCCGGGATGTTTGATTGTAATCCTTGCAGGTACCCCATGGAGTCAAAGCTACAATTGACTAAGGATGAAGAAGGTGAACTCGTGGACCCTACCTCATATCGAAGCATCATAGGAGGGCTAAGATATCTTACTCACACACGACCCGACATAGCTTATTCTGTAGGCATTGTGAGTCGTTTCATGGAGAAACCAACCAAGCAACATCAAGTAGCTGTGAAGCACATACTAAGGTATGTAAAAGGAACTGTGGACTATGGTTTATCATATACGAAAGGTGGAAAGAATTGCGTGATTGGATACACTGATAGTGATCTAGCAAGAGATGTTGAAGATAGAAAAAGTACAAGTGGAATGGCGTTTTACTTAGACAACCGTCTTGTTACTTGGAGTTCACAAAAGCAAAAGTGTGTTGCATTGTCATCATGTGAAGCAGAATTTATGGCAGCTGATAATGCAACATGTCAAGGCATTTGGATAAGTAGGTTGCTTGGTGTGTTGACCGGAAGAAAACTTGGTCCATTTTGTGACAACCGTCAAAATTGAGTCAAGTCAAAGTCAAACAAAGTCAACAAGTCAAAACCAATCGATTCAATTAACCCTTGTATATTAGGGTTTACACTATGTAATTACTGTACAATGCAATATTTTAATGAGAGAAACATTATTTGGAAAGTTCGTGTGTTGAATTTCCTAAGTCTCAAATGCAGTAAACATTGAACCAAAACGATAAAAAAATTATTGCACACTCATCGGGAGTGTGTACGACACTAAAACACGGTTTAACGGGGTTTACAAACTTGCGTTGTGAAGCCGGGACACTCAAATTAATCACAAACGAAACCTCTCTAAATCGTTTTCACTCTATCTCTTTCTATTTGAAATCTCTCCCAAATCTCTCCCAAATCTCTCTCAAAAATTACTTTAACTTTTTGTAATCATTCGGGCCATCCCGACCCTTAACCGGGTCAAAAACCACTTGAAACGGGGTAAAAACGGGT